CCAGCCGAGGGCTTTGCATGATCACTGGAAGTATGAGGCTGATGTCTGTGAGTCCCGGGCTTTCTTGGCATGGAACAGAGAGGTTCTTGGATGGCTCAACCTCTGTCAAGGGCTCCAAATGCACTGTTCTGAGCACTTGGCCTGATGCGTAATCTTTCAGTGTCAAATTAGCATCCTGCAAGGCGTGTCAGCAAGCCTGATTGAATTGGCTTGGGTTTTTGAAGCAGAGACACAGGAGATGCATCTTAGCCAAGTGGGAGCTGCTGTTGAGAACACATTACCCGTGAGAGGAAAGGCTACTGTCCTAGCCTGATGCGGACACAGTCATGGGCTGAGTTCAGCCAAGCACTGCTTTTCTGATTGCAGGTATAAAGTGAGCCTTAGGCACAAGCTGGGTACAGAGATGGGGCGTACCCAGCAGTACCCAGCCCACCTACTCTCTGCTATGCTGCCACTGAACTTGTTGGGGATTTTGAAGTCACTTGCTGCTGCTTAGCAGATGTCCCACAGATCTGAACACTCTAATGGGCTTTTTGGCTGGCATGTATTTGAGGGGGAGCAGAGAGACTTCAGTCCTCCCTTCCCTGAGGCCTAACTCCCATATACAGGTTGTTTGAGGCCAGTTCTGAGAGGGGAAAGAAACACTGACACATCTTGTCGCCTGTTTCTGCCCTCCAGCCAGTAAAAATTGACCCACAGCACCAGCTGTGCTGAGGGTTCTGGCCCAAAGGCCAGGTCCTGCACCCAATCCTGCTGTGCTAAGACTTCCCCAGGAACTTAGTGCTCAGCACAGGTGGACAAGGGCAGAGCTGTTGAGAAGGCCATCTCCCTAATCCGATTGAGTTTCCAGGCTGAGTCTGTGGTCTCCTGACAGCCAAACTGGTGCCAGGCCTGCCGCACAGCCAGGCGCTGACAGGATGCAGATGCTCAAGGTTTTCTGTCGCCAAGTCCTCAATCAGAAAGCAGCCTCTGTGCCCCTGGACAGCAGGAAGGAGGAGACTCTGACCCTCACGTCGAAGGTGGCCGGCACACAGAGAGGTGGGAGGCTAGTATGTGCCACCTACCAGCAGAAGGGCTACAGGGTGGTGCCCACACTCTGGTTACAAGCCCTCTTGGCGTCGGCAGCTGTCTGTGGTGCTGACCGCTCATCTGAGGCTTGAGAATCACCCAGCAGATCTTCCAACTGGACTCTGTCTGGGATCCAGCCTCTTCCAATAATTCCAAACCAGACAAGAAGGACGGGGACTCACAGTGGAGTGGGGGAGGGAAGTAAGGAAGTGAATAGAAGCTGCCCAAAGAGGCTCTGCCCCTGGGAAGCAGAGGACAGGCTTGCATGAAGACGCAGCCTGTGTGTCATCTGGCTGGGTCCTGTTCCTGCACTGTGTCCCTTCTGAGCCACCAATCTCCAAACTTCAGTTTCCAGTCCTGGGAAACCTGGGGCTCACCTGGGCCAAAGATGCCACTCTCAAATAGCTGGCAAGGGTGACAGGGCTCCAAGAGGAGGCTGAGGCAACATGGCATCCTGAACCTGCCACTCTTTTGGGACATTCTAGAAGAAGCTGCACTAGCAGTTTTCTTATCCCTTGAGCCCTCTCCTCCTGTTTAGCCACTTGAATAGAACCTGGCTCCCAAGCATTCCGGGGGTTCCCTAGATGACGGCTTCTTTGTCTTTTCCACACTCCTGTTCTGAGAGCAAACGCGGTGCATTCACTCTCATCCCAGTGAGATTCTTGGCTATGCCACTTGACGAGAACCCTCCCCCCTTGCTTCCTGGGCTTCAGCAGCCCACCTGTGAAATGAGAATAGGCCCACCACATATGTGCTTCTTTTGTCCCCAACATTTCCCACATCTGGGAATAAGTGGTGGCTTTGGCGTGACACTGGGGCTCTCGTTCACACCTGGGCATCTGCTGCAGGGCACTGGACATGGAGTTTGTGTGGCGAGGCAGTTATTTCAGCTCCAGTTCTAAAAGGGCACCTGAAGCGTGCACTGCCAGCCCCCATTCAGGTTGGTTAGGGTTTCTGCAGAGCCAAGCTGGGCCTTAGAGGAACTCAGGGAGCCATCCTTGCTTCCCTGGACACTCTCCATAAACTGTTATCTTGGGACACCTGGTGCTGGCCAGTGCCCCAGGAGCAGATACGTAGGGACTGGCCAGCTAGCTCAGTGGTAGGCATTTGAGTTCACTCTGATTTTATTATTTCAGACAAGGCTGCACTGACAATCTTGATATCAGATGCTTCTGGTGTTCACTATGCCGTGATGCCTGGTGTTAGTAGAAATGGAGAAGGGTGGCCAGGAAGTGTGAGGGCACTTCCTGTAGTGCTGGCCTGTGAGGACTCTTCTACCCGAAGCCTGTCCAGGGATAGCCCATTGCTGAACCTGTTCTGGCTGGGGCTCTCCAGCCACCCTTATGAAGGAGACAGTCCCCTGCCAGGCCAGCCTAGACTGGTCCTGAAGGTAACCACACAGAGGCTTCTCATACTTCTCAGCTTTTTTTTTTAAGCTCTTGGGCTTTGCAGCCTCTTAGGCCCCTTCCCATCCACGGGGCCGCTTGCTGGAGTAGGTGAGTCCAGCTTTTTATCTAAACACAATGGGCTGACTTAGGGGTGTCGGAGGCCCCGGTACTGTTCTGCAGGGAAAACGCAGGTGAGGGCGAGAGCTCAGGTCAGGGATCTGACCTGTCTTGGTGGCCTGAGTCAGGGGTATGCTCCACCAGTGCAGGCACTGTCATCTGTTCACACACAGACGATACATCTCCCTCTATCCCATCCATGTACAAGCTTAGACCCCCCTCCCTGACCACTGCTTCTCTTCTACTCTCATCCTTCACTCTGCCTCCCTCCTTCTGCACCGAAATAGAGATATAGGGAGGGCAGTGGCTGAACTAGCCCTGTTCCTCACAGGAACCATCCCAGCTTCCTGACAAGAAACCTCAGCTTGCTTCCTCTGCCCACCCTGATGGTAATCCTGCGTACTCCTGAAGGCACCCAACAGTGGGGCAGACCTTCAGTCACTCTAAGGTTTCTCGTTGAAACCTGGAGTCTCTCTGGGATCTGCTCGAGGTCACAGCTGCCCAAGGACGTGGGGCTCCTGTCTGTCTAAGGTTCAAGTCTACACCTCAGCCTCCAGCCCCCAACTCCCAACTCCTCTGTCACTCTCCGGAGACCCTCCCTCATGCTCAGAAATTTCCATCCCAGCACTGAGTGAAATAGCAGAATCCAGGGTGGAATAAAAGGCAGGAACACCAGAGGCTGGCATGCCCTTTGGGTCCACTGTCCTCCCCAGGGCCCCAGTCCAGCTTTATAAGCATGATGAAAAAGTGGGTGGCCCAGAGTGGCCCAGCATCTAGCTGGTCTTTGGACACTAAGGGCAGGTCTGCTACCCATGGGAGTTGGTCCAAAACAAAAGAAGAAAAACAGAGATACCAGGAGAGACAGACACACAGAAGGGGAGGCAGAGACAGCGGTGGAAGTAGGGGGTTGGCAACAGAGACCCTGCATGCTATGTGCTGCCCCTCCCTAAGACCAGCAATGCTGAGTCTGGCTTCTCTCCCCAGCATGCACACGTGCCAGCTGTGTCGGCAGTGCTGCCCTTCCTGCTCTCCTGCTCTTGGCCACATCCCTCCTCACTGCTCAGAGTCACAGAGCAGAGTCGTCTGGTGTCATCCCCTTGCAAGTCTCCCGGGACACCCAGAGCTGGTTTGGATAGGCATATGGGAAGATGCTCTAGGTGATTCCAGTTAGGTGGGTTAGCACCGAGGCATCCTGCTGTGAACTCAGGATGACCCTCAAGCTGGCAGAGGCCGTAAATGTTACTCAGGCTATCCTGGGGCCAGGGCTGGAGTGCCCATGCAAGTTGGAGGCAGACAGTTTGGAGGTTGGGGGATCAGAAAAGGGGTGAGCCTGAGAACCTGAGGTTTAGGAGCATGAGAGGCCACTGAGGGCCTGGAGCCAGCCCATCTCACTGCCCTGCTCTGGCTCTAGCCGGCCCTAGAGATAGTTGCGTGCTGCCTTTGTTCAGTGAGGTGTGGTATTTTAAATGTTTTGACATTTTAAATCTGTGTTGGATACATCAAGTGTGTTTAATTCCACTGTGACTCACCAGGAATCGAATTAGTGTGTCTCCTGGGATGGGGCACAGCTGGGCCTAGAGCAGCTAGAAGACTTCTTGCTTGCCCTCTGTGGGCTTCCAATGGAGTGACCCCCTGGGGGAAGATGGAACAGTCCCTTTATTCTCAAGGACAGAAGAGATGCAGCTTGGGGAGGACATAAAGGGCCCAAGAGGTTGATGGTGCTGACTCGGCACATGCAGAAACACCTTCCCTGGAGTGGTATGCACCCTGCCTGGTGAGCCAAGCTTTATGCAAATGGCAACCTGGATTGCCTCTTTCCAAGACCTTCCCAGGGATGGTCTGGGGCTACCTGGGAGTGGAAGGCAAGGCCTTTCCGGGTACTTCAAGCAATCCAAAAGAGGCTTGGGGAGTCCAGCGTACTCCAGAACTGTGGGTGGCTACTCCACTCATTCCAGGTATCTTGTCATGGCTGTCCTCACAAGACAGTGGCTTTGCAAACCATGAGCTTTATGCCAGCCCTGTTCCCCACGTGTGTCAACTAGGACATGTGCACATTTGTGTGGTTTTGCTCCAAGGGAGCCTCCTGAAGGCAAGGGTCAGCTGGACACTGCCGAGGAAGCCAGGCTGAACTCATACAGGCTAGGAAACAAATTCGTGTCCAGCCGCTTCTGAGTTATTGGCCACAAGAATCTCAGAGATTCCGTTTTTGCAAATGTAAAGTGTACGTAGAAGGCCTTGGCTGATGAGTCGGGCTATCCTTCCCCAGAGCTCTAAGAGGAACCAGGTGGGTGGGAGGATGCGTGGAGTCATTTGTGTGACCTGGTGAGCAGGCTGGATGGGGTGTGGCCTTCCTAACTTGTCAAGCACCCCCCAACCACAGTCCCCAGGTCTATGTGTTGGTCTGATGGCCGCCTCTTGCTCTTGCAGGTTAACACCTTCATGTCCTTTGTGTTCCCCATGCTGGTCATCTCCATCCTAAACACTGTGATTGCCAACAAACTGACTGCCATGGTACGCCAGGCCGCCGAGCAGGGCCGAGTGTGCACTGTAGGTGCCCAGGACGGTTTACAGCACAGCACGTTCAGCATGTCCATCGAGCCCGGCCGTGTCCAGGCCCTACGCCACGGAGTCCTTGTCTTACGTACGTAACCTTAGACCTGTGGGGCTCAACCCAGAGCTAAGTGTACAGACACGGGATGGTTGTGGGCCCTCAGCTCAGCATCAGTGCTCTGCGCTCTCCACTCCCTTGTACCTTCTTCACTCAACCAGAAGCTGGGTACTGACTCTGAGCTTGAAGCCTTGCCCATGTGCATAAGCTTTCTTGTGTAAATCAAGGCTCTGTCAAGGAAGCAAGTATACCCCAGACATACTCACAAATGAAGTCACATGACCAGACCTAGCAGTTGGAGACCTCTATGGAGGCAACATCTAGCTATTCAGGTCCTGGTAACTGAGCTACAGGCAGAAGGCATGCCAGGCAAATGCCTGGTGGTCAGACGGTGTGTGGCAACAATGTTGAGTGGAAGAGGTAGGCCTGAATCCTGCAGCTGATGCAACTTCAGGAAACATCATCAGGTAGGATGGATGGGAAAGACACAGGAGAGAAGTCTTTATCCTCCAGACCCATGTCATACATTTTTGCTGTGGCTCTGGCTCCTTCCTGGTCCTGCCCCTTTCAAGCTTACATCCCAGCAGTTCTAGGTGCAGTCTCAGGGCAGAGCTCATGATAGCAAGGAGTCCCCCAGACTAGCCCCTCAGAGCCCAGAGTGCCTGGCAGCAGACCTGAGTGGGCTAGGTGGCCTCCCTCACAGATGTCCCCACCAATACCCACAGGCAGCAACTGTGAGGACTCATTCTCAGACACCTCCCCCCAAGGACATTGCTAGACTCCAGAACAACCACCTCAGTTTCCCCTACTAACCTAGCGTCTCTCAGAGTGAGTGGGGCCTGTCCTGGTTCTAAGGAGGAGACTGAGGATGAAGGTAGAGGGGAGCGTCCAAGACCTCAAGCAGAGTTGTATCTGGGATCTCCATGGTCAGTGCCATCTGAGGACATATCTGGACCAAAAGCACCTGTCAGCTGCATTTTCCATCATGCCATAAGGCCCAGGCCCACCCTATAGAATGCATGCCGTTCCATCTTACTGAGCTGGCACATCTCCTCTCAGGTCAGCTGAGGATGTACTCGTACCCTCAGCACCCAGGAAGAGTGGCCTAGTGTCATTCTTTGCCAACTAGCTGGGCCTGGTCGCTGTTGGCTCTAGTAGTGCAGCACTCAGTTTCTCCCTCACCCATGTCAGCACAGGCTAGAGATACTGTGGCTGTGCTTTTGGGGACTTAGAGACACCCACCGGGTGACCTTTAGAGACCCAAGATACCATAGATCTGCTTCTAGCAAATTTGACAGTGGGATGAAGACTGAAGAAACCATGGCTGGTAACCTAAAGGCTGGAGCCAGCACCTTGGAATAGTTGTAGTAGTTACTGCCTTAGTAAGGCCCCTGGTGGCTGCTCACCTTCAGGGTTGTCCCAGCTACGATGAACTCTGCATAGTCTGACAGAAAAACCAGTTCTCCCTGCCAAGCAGGGCTGCAGTGCAGGCAGGCCAGACAAAGACGCAGGCAGCAAGAGTAGAGTATATAGACATGCTCCAGTGACCCTTGCCCATTGCTGTCCAACAGAACTGTTCCTAGGATACCTGTCAACCCTCTTGGCTGAGAAACCCAAAGGGGGGCCTGGAGATTCCCCACAGGTGGCAGAACCTCCCTTTCTGCAAGTGCTGCCCGGGCAATGGCTCCTTCAAGGCTTGCCTCTCACGGCGACCACAGTCTCCTACGTCCCTGTCCTTCCTCCACAGTAGCTGTAGTGGAGTAGGACAGGGTCTTGATGGAAGGAGGGAAAGCTGCTACTGTGTACAGTGAGGACCACAGGTGAGCTGCTCAGAAGGCAAGCAAAAAAAGGGAGGCAGAGATGCCTAAATCAGTGCCCTTCAGAGTATGTTCCGGGGGTTCTCTAGGGACCTGGGGGTCATGGACACAGGGTCAGGTGATTCTGTCTAGCACCCTTCCTGGGTAGTCTATCCCAGCCTCAGTGGTTCATCTCAGCCTTGCTGCCTGATGCTTCCCCTCTGGTCTGAGACAGGCAAGTGCCCTCATAATTGTTTCCACCTACCCTCCACAGGACCAAGCTGGGCTTGCTCAGCTCTGTGACTCAAATGCCCAGCCCTAGAGACTGTCACTACCCACCAGAATCCTGCAAGTGGCTCTTCCCTTCCTGGCCTTGAGGTTGCATTTAGTCTGCCTGCCCGTTGCCAATGAGTGACTGGCTGGCAAGGGCATACCAGTACCTCAGACCCACTCTGTGTGAATGTCTACTTGCACCATCATGCTATGCTGTTCTGAAATCTAACATTGCCAATTCACCTCCAGCCCCGTCAGCTTCACCTAGGCCAGGTGGCAGAGTTGAAGGGGAGAAACCACTAGGTACCCTCCGGAACCCCAAGACGCACAATTTTGATTCCAGTAACTTTGGGAGTCTTCATCTTAAGGGAAAAAAAAAACTGAAAACCTTGAAGCCTGGCATTGTATAGAGGAGGAAATTGAGGCCAATAAGCCAGAGCCACCCCCATCTGAGTGACTCAATGTCAAGCCAAGTGCAGGGCCAGTCTGATGCTCAGACCACTGCATTGCCCCTCAGAGTCCTATATCCTCTGCTCGGAGGGAGCATCATCCCAAAGTGCGTTTTTTGGTTTTTTGATTTTGTACCAAAAATGCATAGTGTAAAATATTCTACCGTAATCATTGTTATATGTGCAGTTCTGGGACAGCAAGCAATTCACACTGCTAAGCAGAAATTTCAGACCACCCTCTATGTACAGAATTCTCCACCTGTCCCCTAGCCCAGCCTGAGCCTGACTCTTGGAGGGTCCTTGTATAAACAGAATCATACAAGATTCGGTGGCTAGTGAGTCTCGACACACAAGACGCCTTCCAAGTTTGCCCCTATTGGAGCGCTCACTGGACTCTTCTGCCTACTTATCGCTGAACAGTGGTCCACTGTACGGTGCTCACTCCGTGTTTCAGGAGTACCCATTCCGGTTATGTGCACAGACCACGTGACCGCAGACCAGCGGGTGGCAGATCCACCTGTCTGTCCACAGGCTCCCGGTGTCTTCCACTTCTGTGATTGGTTAGGAACGATACTATTGTGGATGTGGGTGCAAGTATCCCTTTCAATTCCTGTTGTCAGTTCTTTCGGGTCAATTCTCGAAAGATGAATGGGGGTGCTGAACCATGGTTTTTGTTTGTTGCCTGTTTTGAGAAACTGCCGTTTATCACAGTGGTTGTGGCATTTAACGTTCCTGAGTTTGTCGTTGGGTCGTTTTGTGTGTGTCTGCTTTGTGTGTCTGTGTGTGTGCCCATGTGTGTGGAGCCCTGAGGTTGACATCAGATGTCTTCCTCTTTTGCTCTCCACCTTCTCTTTCGAGCCGGTGCTTCTGACTGAAGCTGGAACTCACTGATTCAGCTGCCCCAGCCTGCAGCTCCAGACATCCCCACACCTCTGCATTGGCCTGCAGTCTCCTAGCACTGGGCTACAGACACGCTGCTGCAGCAGGTGTCGCCATTGTTGTTGTTTTGTTTTATTTTACTAGAAAAGAAAAAGGTCCGTGACCTCAGGATGTCCTCTGTCTCTTGTGGCTCTCTCTGTGTTTCTGAGGCCCGATGACTGTTTTGCAGGCGCTGTGGTCATCGCCTTTGTGGTCTGCTGGCTGCCCTACCACGTGCGGCGCCTCATGTTCTGCTATATCTCCGACGAACAGTGGACTACGTGAGTACTCAAACTCCAGCAGGTGGGGACAGAACTGCCACAAACCCCACAATCCACAAGCCTGTCTAGAATGAGAGGAGGGCTGCTGTGAGCCTGTGGGTCCAGGGAGGATGGCTGGTTGAGAATGGCTATAGATGAGGATGGCCCAGGAGGTCGGAGCAGGCAGCAGATCCTCACAGTCATTCATGCCCGAGACAATTGCGTTGGATCTGAAGGTCCTCTGGGCCACAGCTACTCCAGGCTGGACTTGAGGGTCTTGACAGAGTCATACAGAGACTTGTCACAGCAAAGGGAAAAGACGGGGGGGACAAGTTCAACTCCCAGCTGTAAGCCACTTGTGAATGCTGTCAACTGGGCAAATCGTAGGAGACTCGGGAGACTGGTCATAGTGCCCCTTCTGCTAAGCATGAGTCAGGCTCCCAGAGGGAAAGCAGGCAATCAGCATGATCCTTATTTGCACAAATGAGTCAGCGGATGGTGAGAGTAGTTCTGATTGCCAGTCTAGATGCTGTCCAGATGCCACACAGCCACACAGCCACACAGCCACCCACTCTGTGAGCTCTTTCTGTACCAGGGCAAGGCTGCCTGGTATGTGAGTGACAGCACCTTCAGGGTAATAGGCACCAGTGGACAGGACATAGCTTCTGCGCCCAGCAAGATATTAAAGAGCACAGGAGCAGCACTAAGTGAAGGCTTCTGAAGGCCAGGCATGCCTGAAGACGGGGGTTAAGATCAGCATGAGCGGACGCACCATGCACAGACATCAGGAGCCTTAGTGGTTCCTGTCTTTGTTGTGTGGTTCGGGACCAGTGGGCCCTGAGGCCTTAAGACACTGGGCTTCTGAACAGAGCCCTGTGGACAATTAAGAGGAGCTGCTAGGAGAAGGAGGGCAAAGTAGAGAGGCCATGCCCAAGTGGGGCTGTGGTCAAAGCCAGAACCACCAGATCCCCTAGGAAGAAGGCCTTAGGGATGCTTTGGTAACCTAAGCGGCCACACTGCACATGATAAGGGCTACTGAGGTCCAAACAGCTCTGCCCTTCCCCAACAGATTCCTCTTCGACTTCTACCACTATTTCTACATGCTGACCAACGCTCTCTTCTACATCAGCTCCGCCATCAACCCCATCCTCTACAACCTAGTCTCTGCCAACTTCCGCCAGGTCTTCCTGTCCACACTGGCCTGCCTCTGTCCTGGGTGGCGCCGTCGAAAGAAGAGGCCAACGTTCTCCAGGAAGCCAAACAGCATGTCCAGCAACCATGCCTTTTCCACCAGCGCCACCAGGGAGACCCTGTACTAGGCCCTGAGTAGGTTGAGAGGAGGCCTCAGCCTGTGCACCGGGCAGCATCCCTCCCAGGCCTCCAAGGGTAAAGTAGCGGCCAGTCTACACCATGCAGGTGAGGCTGGGCCACCCTCAGAGGAGGCTTCTTTCTTTCTAGTTTCTCTTTCTTTTGTTCCTCTGGCCCCTCCTCCCCAATCCTCTATTCCTGCTCCCTATTCCTCTCCTACCTCTAATTTAAAAATCAGAACAGAGGCTGTTTCTCTCCCAGCCCCTCAAAGAGCCTTTAACAAGAAGAAATTAGCACTCACCAAGGACAGCCTCCTTTGTTCCCAGACTAATGGATGTTTAGAAAGAAGAAATGACAGCATCACATTGGGACTGGGCTCTTGGGCAGATGGGCTATTGTAATCATATCATCACCTTGTAGCTGCACCAGCTGTGAGACAGCACTGAGGTTGGACTTGAGCTCAGGGGCATAGGCTCCATCTCAGCCTCCTCCTGCCTCTACCCGTGCCCTGGTCCAGCAGAAATCATGACTCTCTCTGAACCTCATGTTCTGACCCTTCCTTGGCAGGCTAGCACACTGCCTCTCCCTGGGTAGCCCAGAGAAGCCCTCAACATTCTCTTTAAAGTCTAGGCCCCACAGCTGAAAGCTGAGGAGATTATATTTCTGACTACACCCTGAAGAGGTGCCCAGTCTAAAAAGACCCAAGTTTCCACATGCTCAGAAAGGACAAAAGGGCTAGCCTGGAATCACACAGACCGAAGACTTCCTCCACTCTAGGTCTATGTCACCCAGGACAAGCCTCAAGTGTCTTTGCTGAAATACCTGCACTGGGACCTTGACCTCTTGGATCTACAAAAGGACATGGGATAAGTGGAGCTTGTACCCTCTCCCCTGTCCAGGAGGCTTTGGTGGAGGCATGCGCAGTCCTGTGCCTCTTACGCAGCTGCATAGACTAAGGGATGGCTTCAGGGCAGGACTCCTGAGAATGAGGCACTAAGCTGGGTCCTCAGCAAGATGCCAGTGTCTGAGACTCTGCAGGTGAGGAAAAGCCAAGCACGCAGTGTTCAGCTGGCCAGCAGCCCTGGGATGAGGCATGTGTCAATTTGTTACCCGCTGCCAAGCAGCCATCCTGGCCCAGGTTCTAGGCGCCTGGAAAAGCAGGCACCCTTCATCTCCGGGAGCTGTCTCTAAACAGGACAGAAGCGTCTAGCCTCCAGCCAACAAGGCTGGCTGAGCGTTTGGAGACAGTCCCAGGATGCCCAGGGTGGGAGTAGCAGGAGGGCCAGAGAGCCAAGCTCAGCCTTTTGCAAAAGAATCTGGGGCCTCCATGTCTGGAAGAGAAATGAATAGATGGGCAGCTGGCCTGTAATAACAGTATTACCATGGAACATGGGAGGCCCAGTCATGGCCCTGGGCTAGCCTCTGCTCCCTCTGAACTATAAAACAATGGGTTGAAAGTCAGGGTATCTGAGGTTACACAGAAATATGGGGAGGGTGTTCAATTACTTGAATCCCACAAAACATCGCTGCTAGTAATGACTCCTCAGGTCATCAAGGGCAGGGCCTAGGAGTCAGGCTCACGGCTGACACCAAGTAGATGTCATCAACCCAGAGGGAGGCCTCTCCACATCGCTACATGGGAGCCCCTCCCGGCCCTGTGGAGCCTCCTGGCCCAGTAAACGGTTCACAGGCCAATGCTTTACCATGAGGACTTCACCTTAGACTCAAGCCAGGCAGCCCCGCGCTAGGCCCCTACCCTGGGTGTCTAAACCTTGGGCAAGCCATTCTTCTGAGTCTTGATTTCCTCATCTCAGCTGACTGGGAGTGTCTTGAAAGACCCAGCCTGGCGTAGGCAGCAAGAAGATACCCTGAGGCTGAGCAAAGCCAACACTCTATCATGTGATCCCCCAGAAATGTTGTGGCCTCATTATAGGGGTGGTCCAGGCTGTCACTAGAAGTCCTTGCTGTTGTCTTTAGTGTCTTGTGTGCTTGATGTAGTTAGGGACACACATCCATGTACCCCCAGATGCACCTATGATCCTGGTCAAGATGGAAATAGTTCAGGAGGCTGTCTTGCATGTTCTGGGCCTCAGGTCCAGAGTCTCACAAGCCCAGTAGTGATGTGGGGATGGGTCATGGGTCAAGCATCTGTCAGAAAGTTGCCCGTCACTCCACACTGCAATCAAAGAACACCCTCTCCATATCACCCAATAAAGAATAAAGGAAGCTGTGTACATCCAGTTTGGGCCTTTATGTATGAATCCTTTCACACATCTGTTCATTCATTCAGGCAGGTATGGGCTTCTATCTGCCTCTTATAAGCCATGGGTGGGGGTCATGTCTTTCTAAAGACTGAGATATCCTGTCCACTTCCCTGCCCACCTTCTCAAAGAGTTAAAAGTCACACATACACATGAACACACACACACACACCTGCTACCAGGCTTCACACTTGTTCTCAGCAGACACAGCTCCACAGATGGCTGTTTTAAAGCTCTGATTAAACATTGAAAACTAAAATTTTGGAATTTAGACAATATAATTTTCCTTAAAAGTTAAGAAGTCTACATCTAGAATGAGGAAGAAGGAGAAATGCTTTCTGGCTTTAACTCAAATATCAAGTGGCCCAATCTGATCAGGTCTGCACTCAGAGGATAGGCAAGAACCAGAGAAGATGATGGCGATGATGATAATGATGACAATGATGATGATGTCAACCATGAACACTTTCCGGTCTTGCCTCCAGGACAGAAAAGGAGACTCAAGGCCAACAGGACTCCTTCCCCCAGCCTCAGGAGCTGACACCCTCCTGTCTATAAAGCTTACTCCCCAACTACCTGGCTCTTTGGACCCTCTGGCCTTAACTGCACTATCACTAGCTTGCCTAGCTTCTCTCTCTGCTTTGGGATTATAATCTGTTTTAGTTGGGGTTCCTATTGCTGTGATGAGACACCATGACCAAGAACAACTTGGGAAGAAAGGGCTCAATATAACAGTTCATCATCAAAAGCAGTGAGGGCAGGAACTCACATGGGGTGGGAACCTGGGGGTGGGGGTGGGAGTTCGTGCAGAGGCCATGGAGGGGTGCTACTTACTGGCTTGTTCCACATAGCTTGCTCAGCCTGCTTTCTTATAGAAGCCAGGACCATCAGTCCAGCGGTGGCTCCACCCACAATGGGCTGTGTCCTTCCCATCAATCAGTAATGAAGAAAATGCTCTACAGGCTTGCCTGCAGCCTGATCTTATGGAGGCATTTTCCTCTCAGGTGACTATAGCGAGTCAACCTAGCCAGCACACAATCCCTCTCAGTGTTCTTGGCCACAGAGATACAGTCCAGAAGACGCCTTTTCACCTGCCCCGCTCCATCATCCTGCTCTTTGAGGAGACAGAAAAATTACCTTCTTCCCAGGTTGAACAGTATAGGAGACCAGCAGCTTGGATGAGTACCTGAAGCCAGGCGGAGATGAGAATTGTGTCCACTTGCCTAAATATTGGGTGAGGGAGGTAGTTACAGTCATGTATGTATGCGTGTACACACACGTTAAATAAACTGAAGACTCAGGGCCACTGGCTTTGAAGCCACCCTGCTCAGCACACATTTAGATGCTTTCTGGACCGAGGTATGCCCCTGACTCACCCCTTTTCTACCCCGACCTCTGCCTCCTGCCACAGGCAGGGTGATAGGATACCTACACTCCAACCCTGCCCAGGCTGCCGGGGAAGAGGCAGGGCCCTGTCTACGACTATAAGGTTCTTCTGTCAGACATGAAAGAAGATCTTCCAACAGAACCTCCAAGGTTCCTTTCTCTTCTCCCAGAGTCTTCAGTGGACCTCATACCCTCAGAAACATGTAAGCCTGCTGACATCACCCTCCAGGCCCTGCCTTGCCTGTGAAACCAGAAACTCAGGCCTAGGAATCTGTGCTCCTAACAACTGCTCCAACAGGATTCTTCCTGAAGTCTAAGAGTCATCATATCCTCCCAGCCTCCCATTCATTCATTTATCCATCCATCCATCCGTCCATCCATCCATCCATTCATTCTATCTGTCTGGCTGGCTGGCTCCCTCCGACTGACTCCATCCCCTCTCTGGTGAAGGTGTTAGGCTGTCATATATTACAGAGAACTCCTTCAACTCTCCCTCACAGACATGGAGAACTGGCTGGCATATAGATCCAAGAGACACACAGACAGGAACACCAAAGGAATGAAGTACCAAAGACAGAAACTCCAAAGGAATAATGGTGGAATTCCAGGCTGGTCACAAAAGTGAGATTCAGGGACAGCCAGCATGTAGCCTCGACCCTGGCCCCTCACACTCAGTGTGTCCTACTCAACCTACAATCTTAGCAAAGCCCCTCCCTGCTCTAATCATGTGAATGTGTCTCTCATTCTGTGACCTGGACAGAAGAGGAGGCTGCCAGCTCCATCACTATTGCTAGGCAACAGGGCAGGGCTTGGGAGTGAATCCTATGTTCTAAACACATTTGAAAGAAGAAAGGATGCCAAGCTTCCTGTGTCTGCGAAGCTCCCCTCCCACCGCTCCCTGCAATTATAATCTGAATTCCAGTTTTTATCGAAACGCCATGGAAACCATGTCCAGGCTGAGTTTATGAAAGAATGATGCTACTCGGACCAATGTGGGGGGAGGCAGGGAACCTGAGTCAGAGAAGCAGGCAAAGAGCCAGCAAGAGGCAGACAGAGGCAGAGAGGGCAGAGGTGGGCTGCCCTGGGATTGAAAAGGCTGTCAGCACCTACTGCATAGAGTGAGAAAGCCTTTCCAGCACAGGCACATACACACACACACACACACACACACACACACACACACACACCATGCACACTCATACACACATAGATACATGCACACATACCAGCTGTACATGCCACTGTGTGAGAATACACTCTTAAATGAAAGCCTCATTTTTCCTAGCCTAGAGGCTAGAGGTACTAGCCTCTATCCTTGTGTAGAGTACTTCCCTCCCCATCCTCTTCCCCATTTCATTCTTCCTGGGGTCATCTCTTAAATAAATAAATGACTGACATTCAAACCTTGTTCTCAGAGCTACTTGCTGCAGGGGACTTGTGGTGACTGGGGATGACCTGTAGGTTAAGAGCTGGGCTGGTGGAGCCAGTAGGAGGAATGTTCTAAGCAGAGGGAGAGCTCTTGTAATCACCCAGGATTCCTATGACTCCAAGGCCAGCCTCTCCTGCAGGGTCTTGAGGGCTTGGCCTCTCCTGTAACACTCTCAGAGGCTGCCCTGACCCTGCTGAGCCTCCAGGAATGGCCTTTCCTAAAGTGCCTCAGGGATCACCTTTCCTGCATGTTACAAAAGCACAAGATGGTAACATACCAAGCCGTATGTACAAGCCCTCACAATGCAAAGATCATCTTTTACCCCTTCTGATGGGGAAACTGAGAAAGGGAAAGTGGCTGGCCTAGGGTACAGGAGATGTCAGTACTAGACCAAGGACTAAAACCAGGGTCCTTCCCTCCACCTACACAGAATCTGGGTCTGAATATGCACAGCTCTCTGGATGGGGCAGAGATTTTACAGCATCTTACAAAGCACAGTGCTGAGATTCCAGTGACCCAGACCCAACTGGCTCACAAGAATTTGTGAATGAGGTCTCTCTGCCACTGCTGCTCTAGCAGGAGGTAGAGGAAACTCGAACTCACAAACCCACAGCTGCAACTTAGGTACCCAGCAGGGTCCTAGCTGCCCGAGAACAGCAGAGCTCTGAGATCACCCTGAGATGCAAGGGATTTGCCCTCCTAATTATGACTGTAGTGGGTAGTTGCAGCCCCCAGAAAGGGAATCAAATGTCACGGCTCTCCTATGGGGACAGAAGGGAAGAAGGATGTCCTGCAGATTTTAAGCAAGGAAGGTGCCTCTGCTCTCAGGGTCTTGGGATGTCCTCCTCGCCACTGTCCTCTGGTCTGTTTAACCATGGACTCTAGGACTTTGATGGCTGGCCTCAGAAAAGGGCAGTCCCTTTGCACAATATGTGAGGGCATTCACATGCCAGCAGGAGATTATATAATTAAAGCTGAGGCCACAAGGTTCTGAGCAGAGGAACTGGCTGTTCACAGTGGGTATCCAGAAACCTTCCCCCAGGAAGGTTCGGGAATACAGAAAGGACCCTCCTCAGGCTTTGTTTTCTGACATACAAAGCCACTAGACCATCCTCTTAAATTTTAGCTATTCACTCCCTCCTGCTCCCCCGACCCTACCCCATTTGCATATGGTCCCAAAAGATGCCCAAATGGGTAGGAGAGTAACTGAAGGGAAGTCTCAGTTTTGCAGCTTTGAGGAGACTGTCACCCATGCTGGGTCGCCCACACTCTGAATAACCCCTCATCCATTTATTTTTGTAAGTAAACCCAATAAACACACGTATTCACGAGCTAGATGAACTTGGGTGGAATCATTACTTGGTCTGTCATTGGTACCTAGAGGTATGATTTTTCTCATCTCCTCAGGAAAAGTTAATGCAACACCGCCATGCTCTGATACCCACAGGTAATGAGCCAGGATTTGAGGCCAGGATGGATATTGTTGTTGGGTCCTCAGAGGTCCCTGTAAGACTAAAGAACTCCAACTGTAGAGGCTTCTAAGGGCCCTGCCATAGTCTCTGCCATATGCTGTGGTATTAAACAAAATTACCCAGGCCAAGGCTACAGGCACTCATAACCCAGTAGCTAATCTCAACCACAGGAAGCTGTACTTGGCCCCAGATACTCTGGCTCTGTCTCATTTGAGCACTCTGTCCCACCAGCCCAGAGACCCTTCTTTTTCTAATGTTGACTCCCAACATATTACCCAGGAAAATTTATGTAGCACCTACTTCATGCCTTCCTCCAGGGACAGGTACAAAGCTCAGCCCCTCACCTAAAACAGTTAGATCCCTTGAAGAGATGAACCAGGGTATTCACCTAGCCTCCTCCTCATTGACTCTTTCTTCCTAGACAGGCAACCAGGAAACTACAGCTTAGAAGCAAAGAAGCCCATGGACTTCTGACACCCAAAACTGGGGCTCTGAGCAGTTGTGTGGGCTTCCAGAAGCCTGTGCCAGCTCCAAACCTGACCTCAGGATGAGGGACCCCCAGATATGTAGGGTTCTCTGCCAACTCCTACACAGAGGGGCTGGCACATGGGCCCTTAGCGTTAGATGTCCTAGGCCTTCCTACCATGAAGTGGGGAAAACCTGTGATCCATTGCAATAAAACCAGG